ACCGGAGACTGAACCAGAAGATGGTGATGAAAAAGTCTCCCTTCATGGTGATTCTGACGGTTTCCAAGAAGTCAAAAGTAAGAAAACCGGAAAGGAGCGTCAAAAATCAACCGACGAGAAACCAAGCAAAGCGCTACTAAAACCGGACAAGGATGCAGGAAAACAGGACCGGAAACCTAAGAGTATTTCGAGTGTACAGTTGACGCAGCAACAAATCTCGAACATTCCGCCACTGATGGCAACTCCTGTTAATCCGCCACCGGTTTTGCCACAAGCCAATAAGAATCAGTTCGAAAGGCCGCGTCAGAGTAAATTGGCACCGAGGTTTGCGAAACAAAGGGAAAATAATAGACTGCAAAAAGCGCAAATGCAACAGCAACAGAATATTTGTGATGTGAACGATATGAACAAAGTGAATCAAAATATGAACGTTTACGGGATGAAAGATCCGTCGAGTGTTGTGACGCCATTGGCGAATGCTTGGGATAAGTCATTGGGGACGCCGTTGAGGAATATCGATTCAGAAAATGTGTTGGGAGTCTCTGGGGACGGGTGTAAGACCTTGGACCATGTTCAAGCGAGTCAGAGCAACAGCCCCAGCAATGATAAGGTAAGAAGAGATACGTTTATAAATAAATCTAAGACTTTATTGAAAAATGTGTTAACGGTAAAAGTTTACAGTACCTAAGTATAAATTGCTCCAAAGTAGTTTGTGTAAATGAAATATTTTTTATTAGTACGATTGCTACATCGTCCTTTTTTCTTTTCAGATTATTGGTAAAAGCAGTCAATTGCAGGACAAAGCAATCCTTGACGGTACGACGCCTCCTGTCAACACTATCATTTTCGAAAACACGAATTTCAAATCGGCTCCCGGTTCTCGAAGTTCAAGATCGGATAAGCCGCGTTCCAAATTAGATGAGGGAATGGACGGATCTGTGGTTTCGGGTTTCAATAAACCCATATCGGATTTGCTTTGTAAAACCGACAAACAGTCCGAGTCGATTCAGATTCCGCTCTCTTTTAAAGAAGATAATGCTGATATAAAGTTGGATTTTTTTGATTCTGAACTGTCACATCTGACTGAAGAGAAGAGTTCGAAAAATTTGTGTATGCCACGTTCGATGCACGCCATCACAACTGGCAATAACACTATTACAACACCTGATGCGTTGAATTTTAAAATACAGTCTGTAAAAAAAATGTGGGAAACGCCAGCTGACCATAATGTCGGACAAGAAGATAATTCGAGTTTTTCGAGTTCGTTTGTTTCGGATCCTAATACGTTGGATCCGAACGCTTTCGGTAAAGGGAACGATACTCCCGATGATAATCATGAAGGTTTTAGTCCTTCCCCCAATCAAGTTGCTTCGAACAGTACAACAAATGTGTGCAAGGTGATTGTCTTTTCTCCTGTTGGTAGTGATAATAAAGTTGTGACATTGAAGGTAAAGCCTACTCAGCAAGTGTCAGGTGGTGGTGCCCAAGCTGTATTAAATTCAGCGAATCATCAACAGCATTCGGGTATCATGGGACCAAGTCTGATGGGAAATCCCTTGTCTCCTCCTCCTTTGCAGCCAGTCATCGGAACTGGCGTTAATTTAGGCCAACCCCCTCAGCAATATACAGCCAATCAACACATCAGCTACCAAGTAATAAGCTTTTTAATTTATAAAAAACAAAGGAGTTATTTTTTTGGTTTGTTCACAGGCGGGTCTTGGTGGCAGTAATCAATATGGCATTTCGGCCATACCTTCACCACCGACCGTCATGTACAATTCGACTCAACAAATACAACAAACGGGTCTCTACGGACCATTCCAGATCGATCAAACTGGAGTGTTAGGTGGTCAAGGACGTTCTCAATATTCCCAATATCCTAATCATTATAGTTTGGGTCAGACAGCTTCTAGTCCGTATTCGACGCAATCGGTTTATTTGCAGACCCAACCTCACCCCCCTCCCACGGCCCCAGCGCCTGATCTGTATCAAAATATTAGTAATTACAGATTATCTGCGACAGGACCGTTCGGACAAAATCAACAATTGAATAATCCCACAACTGTTCTAATTTCCTCCACTTCCAATTCGTTGATGTCCGCTTCGGTCAAACCCAGTAGCCAACAAATCAGCGCAATTGGTAAGTTGTTTTTGGGAAAATATATTTCAGTTATGTATTGTGTTTGTTTTACTTTGCGTAGGTACCAAAGCTGGCGGTGTTGGGCAAGCCTACCAACAGCAGTCTCAACAGAGCCAGCAAGTGTACATGGCGTACGAGCCGGCGCTTCAAGCCAATTATTTACCAAGTGCTGCGGGTGTGATGCAAAGAGGACCAACTGGTCCCGTGCAGAACAATGTGGTTCCCGCTTTACAGCCATCTTCGTCATACTATTCAGGATCGACAGGTACTGCCAAAGCTTATAATTCTTCATGGAATTTACACTAATGTGCTTTTTGGGTTAAGCTTGTATCTTTTTGTGGATTATTTTGGTGTGGTGATCATTAAGTTTAGCATTAAGATCAAAATTATATACACTAAATTGTTTTATTTTGTATAATTGAATCATTTTACTCATATTGAAACTAAAGGACGTATGCACAGATCGTTTCGTTAATCAATGCTTTTTGTTTAATTAACCTTGTAAATTTTTGCATATTTGTTTAATGTATTAGTTTTTTCCGTCTCTATTATTACTTTTGTAGTTACGTAAATGTAGAAACTTGTATAATAAAATCATTTTTGTAATTTTGTGTATTCTTTGGCATGCTTATATTATGGTGTTGTGCAATCAACGGATAATTTTAAGAGCTAATTTTAGAAACATTGTTAAGTTCTAAAGACCGTTACTCGTGTAATTTATAGGTCAGACAGGGTATTTCCAACAGCCTGGAAGTTCTACTATTCAGTCTGCTCAGTTACAGCAACACCAAGCTGGATATGGACTTCAAGGAAACGTCTTTGGTACCCATAACCAGTCTCATACTAACGCCGGATTGCAGAGTTTCAACTCGCATTTTTTATCGACTCCAATACAATTGGCTGCAGCAATAAATGCACAACAGTTTCGATCCAGCCTTCCAACACAATTTATGAAAGGCGTCGGCAGCCAACAAATTGGTGATCAAACTGGAAGATCACAACAACTGAAAAGTCCCGGTAGTCAAGAAGTGCTCTCATCGGTCTTCAACTCTGGTAAGAATTCAATTTGAATTCAATCACCTTTTGAAACTTGATTTGTTTATTTATAGTTATGTCTTTTTATAGTCCTGTATTTCATAGGTTCACAGATTTCTTCACCTAAGTTAAGGCAGAACTGTAAACAACCCCCGCCACAACCGAGTCCCACTACGCAACATAAATATAATCTATATCAGGGGATGGGAAATCAACAGTCTGGAAATGTAAGCACACCGTAATTAATTAATTGATAACATTGTAATTTTTGTAATTTCTTTAGATGCAAAGGTATCCTCCTCCGATTCAACGACCTGTGAATTTCCAGCAAAATTTGGGCTCTGTACAACAAAACAATTCTGCCAATAACCAAAAGCATCGTTCTAACAATCCTAACAATAAAGCTCCTTCTCGTCAATATTATCAAAGTAAGAATTTTACATGGTTGTAGTGAAATTGCTCGTCATTTGTTTCTTTTCATAGATAATTCAATTTCATCTCAGAATGAAAAAATCGACGACGGTAAGCTGAATGATAATTCTTTGAGCAACAGCAATTCCAATAGTGTTAATTCGTCTGTTGCCAATAAATCCGTAATTGGGACAAGTTCCGCAACTACGGTAGCTTCTCCGGAAATATCAAAAGAGGCTATTAATATAGAAGAAACCACCGCTCTGAAGGATTAAGTGTTGTCTTTTATTGTTTTAAGCACTAAAAAGTTTTGTATTGTGTTAACCAATTTCCAAATTTTGTACATTATTACTAATTAACTGAAAGGAATCGCAAAAATGTATTTATTTTTTCCATTATATTAAGTATTGAAAGTTTTCTTGTATTACTAATAGTAATTATTTATTTTTTGTGGTACTGAGACTTGCGTTTGTGACCGGTTATTTCCATGAACACACCGATTTTCGAACTACTTGTTAGTTATACGGAGTTAAAGTTTTATGCTTTACCAGAAATATGATAAAATTGATTTTCTAATAAACGTATATCCTGTATCTTATTGTACTGGTCCAATTGTTAACTGGATTCAGTATGATAGTTTAGCCAGACCTTAGTAGTTTTTTTACTGTGCTCTATAAAAATGTTATTACTGTGTGCATTTGCCAAACCGATAGCTTCAACTGCCCACAGTAACATGAAATTTTTGAGCCCTTTGCTGTGCAATGCCGACAGTGGTTCTAGCAATTGTAGTTTTGTGATATGTTAAGTGTATAGATTTTAAAAAACAAGGCATTGAACTTGCAAATCTCAAATTTCGGTAAATGTTTTTAACAATTTGCCTCCATATTGTGGAGTCTTTCATTTCTCTCGAGATAGTGGCGCTGTTCATCACAGTGTAGAGCTTGCCTAATCAACAACTTCTTAGAAGCAACACAATCTCATCAGTTAGCTCATTTAGCAGTGTTAGTTAATCGTAGCCAGTATGGAAATGTATCGTGTAAAAATTATTCAGTGAGTGAAAAAAAACTGCACTAATGTTTTATCACACAAACTCAAAGCTTTATTAAACCTCAGTGTAAACGGAAATTTGGCTGAAAAGACTGCATTCGGATGGTGAAGTGTGTGACCTAAAAGACTTTGGATTCGCTCTGTTTTGTTCTCTTCTACCGGCATCAGCAAATTACTCAGAATTATTATAAAACTAAATTGTATATCTTTGGTTAAGATATTTAATTCTATAAATATTATTACTTCGTAAAATAAATGGTTTAAATATATACGTTTTTCATATCCTGTTGTTCCTTTTTGATCAATGCAAATGAAAATTAAAAAAAAGACCCCCTATTATAAGACAAATCTACGCCACTGGTTAGCATAGCTGTCACTTTGACAATTGAAATTAACCTTGCATTTTAAGTTTCTTGCATAATTTCAATTAGTGTTAAATTGAATTTCTAAAAAATGGCTGTAAATCCCAACTGCAAATGTGGAGTTACATGTAGAGGCCGATTAAATGAAACTATTGGATTTATCGGAGGTGGAAACATGGCAAAAGCAATAGCCGAAGGGATTGTTAAAAAAGGTAATCTCATATTTCCTCACTTATAATTGATAATATTTTACTTTAGGTTTGGTGGACTATAAACAATTAATTGTATCAGGACCGAGAGATGGTAGCTTAGAATATTGGCGAGATTTGGGCTCCAAAACAACAACACAAAACGGCGACGTTGTTTGCGATGCTGATATTATTTTCCTAGCTGTAAAACCACACATTCTCCCTTCAGCTGTAGCCAATATTTACGAAACATTAAAAAAGCCCATCAAGGGCAAACTATTTGTATCAATTCTCGCAGGCATCACGTTAGGAGCTCTGGAAAATGTAACAAATCAGTCCCACTTTTCCAAAATTCACACTAAAATTCTAGTGTTTAGCAACTCTGGAAGGCTCTCGAGTCATTCGCGTGATGCCCAACACTCCAATGATGGTAGGAGAAGGATGTACCGTCTTTTGTCCCGGTCAAAGAGCCAGTGATGACGACATAGCTCTAGTAAAAACTCTCTTAGAAACGTCAGGTGTTTGTAAGCAAGTCCCAGAATCTCTTATCAACGCTGTAGGAGCCCTCGCCGGTAGTGGCCCTGCTTTTGTAACCAATACATCCAAAATTGAGCCCTTTTAACAAACTTTTTACAGGTTTATCTCATGATTGAAGCCCTGTCTGACGGTGGGGTCAAAATGGGAATCCCCAGAGCCATGGCTACGAATTTCGCCGCACAAACTGTCCTTGGGGCTGCAAAAATGGTTTTGGAATCGGGGAAACACACAGGGGTTTTAAAAGACGAAGTGTGTTCTCCTGGTGGTACCACCATCACGGGGATTCATGCTCTGGAAAAGGGTGGTGTGAGGTAGCTCTGAATTTAACATGTTTGTGTTGATATTGAATTAATTGTTATTTTAGGGGTGCAATTATGGACGCTGTTGAAGCGGCGGCGAAAAAATCTGCAGAACTTGGTCAAAAGAAATAAAATATTGTCTTCCCGATTAAGACTCTCTCAGTAGAACAATAAATGACTCAGCAATATTGTGTAAATAGAAAACAAATATTTAGTTTTTAAATTACGCAACTGGAATCACAACTAAGTACTAATAATTATTTACATGACGAAGTTTTTGATTTATTTTACGTCTTGTAATAAGATGAAAAAATTAAATTTGTTTTCATTTAAAGTTTTATTTTGTTTTTTATTTAAGTTAAACCCAGAAGTATTGATTTATCCATGAAACGCCGCCACTGGTCTGCGTCTATTTTAGTCTGGTTTATCTAACCTCAGCAATAACTACCTGAAATAATAATTTTTTAAACAGTTTTTGTCTGTATTAAAATGATTTTATTCGATGCTTTAATTAAAATACCCAAAAATAACAATGTCTTGTGAGTATTTAGAGTGGATTATCGTTTATAATAGTTTCTTTTCTAACCATTGCAAAGTTATACTATTTGCGTAAAGTTACATTTAGAATTAGTCGTTTATAACATCAAAAACAAAAAGCTTTAGCAAATTAGGGGCAGGCTAACTTATCTCAATCCATTCCTAACTGGATAATAAATTATTAAATAACTTAAATTTCGTAAAAAACGTGAAAATAAATGTTATATTTTTCAGCCAATGTTTTAAAAACGCCCTGAATAGCAAAACCTTTTGTACTACTACCACCATTAAAATCAAAAAGAAAATCGGTTTTATTGGCGATGGAAATATGGCAAAAGCGTTGTGTAAAAGTATCGAAAGGAGAGGTTTAATAAATTATTCGCAAGTCTACGTCTCAAGTCCTTATATAAAAAATTTGAACGTATGGAAGGAACTGGGAGCCAATATAACAACAGATAACACCGAAGTGGCCCAAAAATCAGACATTGTTTTCCTGGCTGTTAAACCTCACATGTTGAGTGAAATTCTAGATAAAATAATCAAAGATGCGACAGCTAGTCCAATAAGTAATAAATTGTTTGTTTCAATTTTGGCTGGAATAACTTTAAGAGAATTGGAAGAGGTAAAAATCGACTCGGATCACAATTAGCAATAAAACTGGAATTATTATTTTCAGAAAACCAAAGTTTTTCAAGGCTCACGTGTGATAAGAGTCATGCCCAACACCCCTGTTGTGGTTGGTGAAGGCTATACGGCCTATTGTCCCGGTCAAAACGTCACCGAAGAAGATCTCTCCATCATCAAATCTATCCTCGAAGTCACCGGAAGTTGTCAATTACTTCCGGAGAAAATGATCAACGCTGTTGGTGCTATCTCGAGCAGTGGACCAGCCTTCGTACTAATTTCCTCCCCCAACTAATCAATTATTACAATTGGGCAATTACAGGTGTATCTATTTATTGAAGCACTGTCTGATGGAGGAGTCCGAATGGGGCTTCACCGAGAAATGTCAACTAAAATTGCAGCACAAACTGTAATGGGGGCAGCAAAAATGGTCCTAGAAACTAGCAAACACATGGGAACTCTTAAAGATGAAGTCTGCTCTGCCGGTGGAACAACTATTGCAGGAGTACACGAGTTGGAAAAGGGGGGAGTCAGGTGGAATTATTTCACAATTTTGTCTTTTCTTAACTGGAGGTTTCAGAGGTTCTGTTATGAATGCGGTAGAGGCTGCTGCCAAACGAGCAGACGAACTTGCAAAATAGAGCTTGAAAATGTGCCAAGTGTTTAGTCTGCGGTCCGATTATTAAGTTTTTGTCATTATTTCTGTGATTTCTAAAACAAATATCTTCAAAAATAAAATTAAAGTAGAATTACAATTATTGTTGAAATCTTCCCGTACTTTCACTATCTTTGAAATGATAAATAAAATCATTTTATCAATGATTGCCACTTGTCACTTTTTATTACAAAATTAGTCTATATTTTTTGATTGAAATTTTTACATTACCAAAATGAACACATATTTAATTATAATGTTACCCATTTCTGGTTTATACTTCATTATTATGCTTTTCATATTATTTGCCTATCATAGAGCTAAAAAACAATATACACAAATGATAAAAGAAGGTAAGACACATCTGTATTAGCTTAATCTATTGTTAATTCTGTTTTAGGTTTTTATTTCGTCTGGAATGGTGGCAGTTTTGTAGGAATACCTCCGGATGTGGCTGAAGATAGTAACGTTTGTAACACATTTTAAGGTTTTTATTGGAAAATGTTTTTCTAGTGGGATTATCAGCGGGAACAGAAAATAGGATGTAAATTGAAATGGCAATTTGGTTATACGCATTTTTTTGGTAATTCACTTATCACAATACATTTAATATCCTTATCAGTAGATAAAAAAGATAATACGTGACACACAATAAACTTATTAGATCTAGAAACAATATTACTTGATACTATAAAAATGAGTCTGTTATTTAGTTCGTTTAAATTTGAAACTTAATAAAAAATGGAATTATACCTAATTGTACTATTACCAATTTCGTCAGTATTTTTATTGTGCATGTTAGTGTTGTTAGTTCTTTTTGAGAGAATAAAAAAACAAACATTACACATGATTAATGGAGGTAAAAATATTACACAAGTTGTTTCAGTGAATATAAAGATAATATTTCAGGATATTATTTTATCCAAAAGGATGATAGTTACATTGGAATTCCACCTGAATATATAGAAGAAGGTAAACATTGTTTATTAAAAACAAATCGAATAAATGATTTTGTTTGCAGCGGGTTTAGCTATCAGACCAGATAGAGTATAGAATAAAAAAATCGAAGGGATCTGAAATGTGATCATGCCATCAAATTTTAAATCAATTAGACTAAAATATTTTATAAAATTAAATAAACAAATATAATAGATGTGTTTCAATCCCTTTTATTAAAGGTCCCCAAGTTGATTTCTATATAGATACGAAGCGATTGATATCAAACAATCTACATTTGTGATAAACAGTAAAAAAACTTCTGCATTAAGAAAAAAAGAGTACTATTCCATTTAAAAGAAAGGAAAACATAAAAACAATTCTAAATGAGCTGACTATTTCTATCAAATAATTAAGTATTATAACACCCAATAAACAATAAACAAATTTAAAAAATGCAGTTATTCCGATGAATAAATAATAGGTAATCATTTGGAAACTATGTTTTTTTTTGAAAACAAAAACATATATAAAGATTATTTTGCATCACTAACTGCATTCTTTTATCTACGATTGCTAAAGGTTTTTTCTGTGAAAAAATAACACTGGAACTCATATTTGATATAGTCACCACTCATGCGCATGAAAAGTATAAATATTAGTATTTGAAGATAAAAAACATTCAGTGAATTTTGTCTTTGTAATAAATATGTCTAACGAATTCGGTCCATTTGTCTATTTTTCCTTTAGTGTTATAGTAATGTTTACCTTATTTTTAATACTATTTGAAATAGCAAAACGCAAACAATTAAGTTTAATCAAAGAAGGTGATTATGAAAAAAAGTGTAAAACACTCATAAATGAAAAATTGCAGGTTACTATTTTGTTGAAGAATATATAACAATAAGGCAAACAAGATTAATACCAGTACCACCATCAAATATTGATGCCAGTAAGTGCTTGTTTTATAATATTGTGTAAGAAAAAAAATCTTTTAGGTGATCCCAATAATCCAAGAATAATAAATCCCGCATTAATTGATCGAAATGCGTGCGGATGTTGTTTATAAAAAAAATGTGTAAAAATTATTACATCTTGTTTTTCGTGTTATTAAAAATTTTAACTTAACAAATAAAATTTTATTAAAATATTGTGGTATCATTTTTTTGATGCGGTGAAAATGACTAAAAAAATATTGACAAGCCATAAACTATATCAAAAGTATTTTTCAAGGAATTGGCAGGTTGACTGCGTCACCCCCGATCCCACTTCCGTTGATTATCCAGATAAAAGATAAACAATTTTTTAGAATCTAATGTTTCTAGTGCATGAAAATCCAAACATACGTTAAGAGGAAACTAGAGTGAATAAATGGGTCATATATTTAGCAGCACAGGTGCCGCTATTTGTGGTACAATAGCCCTCGTTGAAGTAATATGCGTGGTGTCTTACATCATAATATCAAGTATTAAACTAAGAAAAAAAATAGTTTCAATGGGTAAGTAGATGACTGGAAATGACTTCTAACTAATAAAATAAAATTGAAGGACGTATAATTCCAATTCACTTGGCAGTGTTTCAAGGTACAGTTGTACCAAGTCATGTAGTACAAGTCTGTCCTTCAAATCCAAATCAAACACAACCACCTCCGTCAGGTTTGTAACATTTATACAACCAATAACAAAAATCTACAATCATTTATTTCAGGTTTCTATTTACCTCAACAACCACCTCCACAGCCAGGTACGTATTACCTCACCTCAACGCAAAAACTTGTAATAAAAATTTTACTTTAGGTTTTTACCCACCTCAGGATTGCCCACCACCATATGAACAAACGCCAAATCCTAACTTAATACTTACTAAATAAAATTTATTTGCAATGTTACATATACACAATAAATCGCATAAAATATTCAATTTGAAGGAGTTGACTCACTTTTAGGGGGTCCAAAAGCGGCATATTCGACACACCTGGAGGGGTCAGTTGGGTAATACTCCTGACATTTAGTCATCAATCTTTTCAGCCCTTGAATGTACTTTCTTTGAGTCTCATCATTCATCACATGCGCGACATTTTTCGAGAAGATTTTTTCTCGCCCTGTACGAGCGTGGATGCCCACCATGGTCACACCAATGGGCCATGGGGCATTTCCGATGGCCATTTGCAAATATGCATCACTCGCCTGTTGAAACATTTTAAATTAAATCAAATTTAAGAAATGCGATTTTTATCTTACTTTAAGATAGTTTCTATTCATAAGATGGACGACGATTTCCGTTAAACTGTCCGAAATATCTTCAGGCAATGTGAAAGATTTTAATTTTCTGAGAAGGGGTTTGAGATACTGCTGTGTTTGTGTGTACGTGGCGAGGGCTAATTTCCCTTTAGTTCCTCGTTTTTCTTCAGCTGGACGGTTTTGCAATTGTTCATTCCATAATTTTAGAATAAACTAAAAAAAAAAACATTTTTTATTATGCAAAATGTTAAGAAGTGTTTCTGAGTCATTCGATTAAATAACGGAAACTTGACAAGCTTTTTTTTAATGGGTATTCGTGGATTTATGTATGATTGACCCAAACAAAAAGGCTTCAAAATTACATTTTTGTTAGAAACTGAGAAACTATAGGCGTTTAATGGCCTTCACCATTTTTTTTAATTTTGGCTCAGAAAACACAAAAATGTCGTTGCACCTTATGTATTTATGAGAAATTTAAAAACTGAAAGCAAGGTTTCTGTACTATAATTCAGTAAACTACTCCATAATTTATAAAACATAAGGCATTTTCTAGAGATAAGACTAAAAATTGAGGAATGAATGTTGATCATTTATTATGTTTGCATAACAGTTTAAATATTGTGATAACTCGTATTTTTACCAAGTAGATAAATACAGCGTGTGTCAGAACTCGCGCCCCAGGAAAAAATTTCAAGTAAGATAAGATACCAGGAATATGGAAAACATGTTTAAAAAATTTTGACATTTATTTTTTGTGATTCAACATCGATTGGCATTTTTACTACTAAATTTAAACATTTCCCTAAGACTTTTTCTTCTTCTGAAAATCAAAGTCAGTACATTTAACACTTTCTTTTTACTCCAAGCCAAAGTAATCCGAAGTAACCCAAAGTGGCCTAAAGTGACCTGAAGCTACTCGAAGTGAGCTAAACATTATTTTTTACAATCTAAAAGACACTTTGCTAAATAAAAATAAAACTCTTAGTGAGATCCGATAGGATTTGACCACATAGACTAGTTTTTTGTCTATTTTTTTTATAATTATTTAGTAAAAGTACAAAAATTTTGCCAATAAAAGCCACAAATAACATTAAAGAGAGTCACAATTTAAGATACAGCTCCTTTGTTTTGCTCTTTAATAGCCTGTAGCAAAAAAACTTGGAAAATTATTTTTCCAACACAAATAAATAAAGTCAAAGTGCAAAATTTAAACTCTCATAACTTCGAGATTTTTATAGATAAAATTTTTTAACACTTTTTACATGTTCCTGGTATCTTACCTTACATGGCATTTTCTCTGGGGCGTGAGTTCTGGCGCATCCTGTATTTTTTTCATGCATATACTAGTCAGTAATTCTCAGCGAAATGATTCTAGATTTGATAAGATAACTCCTCTCTTATCTTACATTGTTTTAATGGTGGTTAACTCTAAACACACAAAATGGCAGATGACGCACCTATCCCTTTAATAATCTTGGTTGTGGTATTTTATGTTGCTGGTTTTTTGATCGCCTTGTATATAAGAATGTCAAAAATTGTGTTGATCCGAAAAATCAAGGAAACTGGTAAACATAACGAGTCAAATACATTCAAAACAATTCAAAATGATATTTTAGGTCGAGTTATATCTCTCTCACAAACACTGATATCAATGTTGATGCAACAATTACAAGAACACCAAAGGCAGCAAATATCACCCGCTACTGGTTTACCACCGCCTCCACCATACACGATAGAAGCGCCCGTGGCGCCGCCGCATGTGGAACCGAACGAATTACCGCCTCCTTATGTAGCACCGCCCCCATATGCAAAATAAGCTAAGATATTAACCTCAATAAAGTGAACTATAACAGTCATGTCTCGCTCCCTTTCACCGTGCCCCATATCCTTAGCCATGTCTTGAAGTTCCTCATATGTCACAGTCACTGTCTTCTCTTTATCTGCTGTTTTTGGTGTAGTTTTAGCAGCCTCTGATGCTGCAAGTAGCTCATCCAAGTATGCTTGATCTACTTGCTCCATGGCTTCTTGGAAATCATTACGAAAACCTTTGTTAACCTCAGGTTCCAAAAGCTCGCATTTTCGTAAACGTTTAAAAGCGTCAACTTCTGTTTCTCCAAAGAGGAGGATGGGTTCAGAGCGGTCGCGTAAACGTGAGATTACTTCACTTCGCGGTAAAATGCTGTGCCCCTCTACGTCAGATTCAGATTTTTTGCCTGAAAACAACGGTTTAAAAACTGAACCAGTAAACTGTGCAAACACCACCTTCTGAAACTTCTGTTGTATTGGCTGAATCCTCATTCTTATATGTTCCGTATTTTTGACGGTATTCCTCCTCCTCTTTTGCTAATAGGTCCCCTCTTTTAAAATATTTCTTATCAGGTGCCTAGAACAACATAACCACAATTAAAGCAAATACATGGCAAATACTTATTATATACAAGTAGGTTTTTCTCTTCCAATAATTTGCGTTTTTTGGCTATTTCGGCCTTTAAAATATCCATCGTTGCTGGTATTTTATCGCAAATACATTTTCTTACCAGGAATATTAAGTTTATTCTCTAAAATCTTCGTTTGTAATTGTCCTCTGGAGACATAACCTAAATAAAACATTAAAAACTTCGCACCATATTTTAATGTAGGTAACGAAACTTACGCTGATAAAAATATAGCACAATTCTTGTTAGTTTTCTTAAAATAACTCTATTTTCTTCTATAATAATGTGAGGAATAGTGTTAGTGTTAGCACAAAAATTGAAAATGCGTTGGTGATTTTGTTGATTGTTGGCAAAATTGGTAGAAGTGTTTCAGCGCAAAATTTAAATTTAATGTTTGTCACAGTTTTTAAAAAAATATATTTTATTTGTAAAAAAAACTTGCTGTTGTTATAATTATAATTTGTGATATATTTTGATAACACATTGTGTTTCACACTTAGTGTGAAATTGTGTGGATTTATGATTTTTTATTGCTTCCTGAAATTTTCTGTTACATTATACTCGAGCATAAATTGAAATAAGGGCCAGTTTGGTTTTTCGTTTTATATGGCCAATTTATGACATGTTTAGGACTTTTTAAATGAAATCGATAAGTGCAGCAGAGCTGTGATGTTGGTTAAATTTTACGCAAGCGCTCCCAATCCAATAAACCATTTCGCCATGAGAGAAGAATCTATGCATTGTATGTTTGGTTGACTATAGTACGAATAGTGAATTGAATAAGTTTTGTAGAATAAATTCATCAGCTGATGCCAAAACATGGCCCAAAATAATATCAAAGTCTTGCTCGGATTTGAAGACGAACTCATCACTGAAAAGTATAAAAGCCAAGTTAACTTCACCACCAATAAAATTGGAGGAAAACCCGTGAGTATTATTGACTTGATTATTTACCATTAAGCCCTATGTGCAAATTATTTGTTATGAATTTCACACTTCCGGGTGTGTTGTACAAAATATAAATATTACAAGGCTTAAGATTTTGACTCCAATAATGAAAAAAATTGAAAAAAATGTGTGGAGGAGCTGGGATTTGAACCCAGGACTTTCAGCATGCGAAGCAGACACTCTACCACTGAGTTACACCCCCGATGAGCTACAATCTGCAGCATTAGTATTTATAGAACATTTCATTATTCAATTATTAAAAAAATTCTCATTTTTATTACAATTAATAATTGTGTTACTTAGGATTTACCAAGCAACATCAAGCTTGAACCGCCAATCTGTCCACTGTGCCAACTGCCAAGACCTTTGGTGGTGCAAGTCTACGCACCTCTGGAGTCTTCACCCTACCACCGGACTTTATATTTATTCGCTTGCATAAATCCAAATTGTTGGAATCAAAGTGAAAGGTGATTAATCATTTTTTAGTGAAACATTCTTACTTTTATTTTACAGTTGGATTTGTATTCGTGTCCAGTCCCAAGAAAAATTAATTGAACATGAAGAATCTGCAGCTGTAACTTCCAAAACTAGCGCAACTGATTGGTGTGCCGATGCTGATGATTGGGATGATAACAATGCTAACATAAATGAAGAAAATGGCAATTTAATTAACAACATTGAACGAGCTTCTGATGAAGATGACGAAAGTTGTAGTTTTGAAGAGTCAGTGAGGACGGGACTTGGAAATTTAACAGTGGACGACAGAAATGCAAATAATGGAGCATTTGGTAAGTGTTTATTTGGTTGCAACAGTATATACAATAAATGATAGGATTGCTTCAATAATATTAAAAACAATAAAAAATTTAACAACCTTTAGAAGAATTAACTTTGATTTAAATTATTTCATCAGAAAGTGAGACACATTTTCGTATGTGACAAATGTGATCATTGTTGCAGGGGTGACCCTTAATAGATTCGTCCCTAGACCTTTATAAAACCCTCTCCAGCCCTCATATTTCCAAGTCTGTGTTATACAATCTAAAGACCCCTTATATGAGTAATGTTGGTTTTGCAATCTCGCCCTAATCACTTGATATGGATAAGTCACCCCCGCTGCTATAAATTTAGAGAATGCTGCAAATGAGAGATACTGTACTGTATTAAGCTTTGTTGAAATAGGTAGATTGTAGTATTTTGTGTACTCATTTTTCAACTGTTCATAAACCATAAATTGAACAGCCCCATGAGACACCCCGAAAATTCCAGGAACCAACCCTTTATAATATCCCCTAATACCATCCGCGCGATAAATCTTAACTAAAGCATCAATCATCCCTTTGTACTGTTGACTAGAATTCCCATATTGTAAACACAGTCTCGTCTTCACAACCCACAAGGGATTCGTTAAAAGTAAAGTCATAACGCCGGCCTCTGAAGCCGCTAGAAGATGTTGAGCGGGACTCAAGGCCGTATTGGCATTTCCCTTCTGTATTTTGGTTTTGATCGTTGTGTAAAATAAGAAATACAGCCCCCACGAACTGCCGGCCCCCCAAACATTCGGGACAACGCCACGGTACAGTCCATGCAGACCCTCCTGGCGAAAAATAGTCGTGAATGCGTTCCAGATCCCGGAATACCTGGGTGTAGTTTGAATCCTCCCATCGTAGACGGCGAACCGAATTTTGATAACATCAAGGGGGTGCAAAATAAGAGTAGAAGTCACACCACCACTTATCCCAGCGACAAAGTGCTCATATTTGATATGATTGAAGATACTGACATCAGTGTCGAGTGCCGTTTTGGTCACCACGCTCATTTTCACATGATACTAGTGGTCATTGCACAATTTTGACTTATCTGATTAGAATTTGGAGGTTAGGAAACATCTGAATTTTATTGACGTTTCATTTGCGATCGCGCATGTGATATTGTTGACTTGAGAAACTGTCTAGCAAGTCCTCGGTAGTATAGTGGTCAGTATCCCCGCCTGTCACGCGGGAGACCGGGGTTCGATTCCCCGCCGGGGAGGCTTTTTTTTCAATTTTTTTATTTATAATTAATTTTTAGGTGGTGCTGTTGGTCGTTTACATTCTCCATCAGCCACCGCTGAAATCGAGGGCGACGAAGGGGAAGTCGTCACCATTGATAGTCCCGTCATGCCCCAACAAGACATTGTTGCCCTTTTGCAAGAAGCAACCCCTTTACCGCAAGACCTCTGCCACAATCTGCAGAGTGACCCACGCAAAACCTCTCTTTTTCAATTCATCTCATCGTTTATGGGTGTGTGGGAGGAAACTCCGGGTTCTTCCACAATTAGCGATAGACACGTCAAAGAATTGTTGCAAGAGTATCAACAGAAAAACGATGACGTGAATTTAATGAGTCCAGACACTGGAGGAGCGTCGGCACAAATCACTGATAACGTTTACGAAAAATACGAAAAAAGCAATCCGGCTCATGGCGATAAAATGTTTCACCATTTTCTCTCAAAGATACAAATGAACCCAAGTCAAATTTTGAGATATAACAGAGATAGTTCTCCACTTCTCTTGTACCCTTTACAAGGGTTTCAGTCAATGTGTAATTATTGTAAAGGCGATTTAGTTTTCGAATTTCAAGTTTTACCAACGATTATTCCAAAATTAAAATTGGTAGGCGATGCCAAACATTGTTCAAGACTGGAATTTGGAAGTGTCTTAGTATTTACATGCCGCAAGAGTTGCTGGTCAACCGATACGAATACGAGATACGAGACTGTCATTGTACAATCAGAAGTTTATTGAATATTATGCAATATCGCGGCTAAAAAATTCCACCATTGCTTGCCATTGTTTTATTGTTGTGACTTCGTGTTTATTACATCACACAAAGCGATAATATGTTATGTCTGTTACAACTAATTAGGGCAGGTCATATTTTTCTTCCAAGATACGGAAAGTATAATGTAGGTACTTACAATTATTGTAGTCTCAGGAATTGTGCAATTTGCAACAGTTTTGCGCCTCATAAAAACACTACAGTAGATGGTACGGTAGTTTTAATGCAATTAAATATTTTCTTTGAGTTAATGAAACTTACTAATTGTTCTTATGGTGGATATAAATGGACTGTAAAAATCAATCATTTTTTATAATTTATTCATATTGGCATTTAAAATAAATAAAAACTAAACAATAAATTCATTACACAATTCTTAAAATCATATTAAGTACGTAATTCCTGCACTAGAACACAATATCATAATACATTATCATCACTTTTTTAATGACTATCTGTAGAAATTGAAATATTTTCTTAGTACCTAATAAAATTTGTTCGCATAAATTTAAGTGATATAACCACAATAAAGCGTTAAGAGTATTTACAAATACTTGAATTTTTTACACAATAACCTATGAACACTTTGGAAAATGGTAATCAGGTTAAAACACTTTGTATCACAATAAAAAAATCAGATTACGTATTATTCCTTCTCGGTACCCTTATACGTATTATTCTTCTATTATCAGAGGGATGAATTAAATCACTTTTATTCCTCCACTCTCGGCGTTCGTGCTCCTCATGTCGCCGTTTCCTATCTACATAATTGATAACACAACTCGTGGGGATCCACAAAAGGGCTGTAACTAGCACAACAGTCCCTACGATATTATCGCGTAAAAATAATAAAACTTTATTGATGTTGATATCTTCGATAATATCCCAAAATCGCTCAACTACATCCTGGACTGTCTTCTCGCAATGTCCTTTGTTGCAAAAGCCTTGAATACAGGGTGTTCCATCGGCTAAAATATCAGGCGGATCGACTGGAGAACAAGTCTCATTAATACTAGACCGGCAACAACGCTTACACGCATCAACAACTGGAAAATATACTATTAAACACCCTGTATAAAACAGTGTGTAGCTTACTTATATCACACATGCAACTCTGCAAGCCTTGTGTTTCACAAAACGGAATGCATTTGCCCCCTTTGCACTTGCCGCGTTCTTGGCAATTTGTCCCATCGGCCATTGGGGGGCTTTTGGGGCACTCGGATTGGTGTCCCGTACATTTCGATTCTTGTTCGCACGTTGCATATTGCGCCTCCCTACATTTCACCTCGCTGGTCATATACTGACAATTCTGACAACATGGCGAATTTTTATCGCTACAAACTGCTTTCGGTCGCAATTTGCAGTCTTTATCACAGCAAGCGTCATTGTCTTCGGTGCCTAGCAGTCCAGCGTCGCATTCTTCATCGCCTTCCACTCGTAAATTCCCGCAGAAGCTTTCTTCCGGTTCGGAGAAGCAGCGACCGGATTTGGCTTGGAGGACTTTCCGGATTGATCGCAAACTGCACGGAGAGAATCGCTGGAAATTTTATAGTGAGTCTTGGTTTGGGACTGGAAGAGGGGTACTTTGTTATTGACGTCGTAACCGCTGACACTGTAGGTGTACATGAGATAGGAACCTCCTTGACTAGCACTAGGTGAGCATTCAGGGATGTCGGGGTCGTGCTCAGAGCCCCAATTGTGGCCGAATTCGTGAGCGGTTACTAAATCGGCTTCGCGGGTTATGACTCTTTGGCCGTAGTGGTTTCGGCTCGAGCTCAGGCCCGAGTTTAGGTACAGGGTGTACCCGTTCTTGAAATATTCTGCAAATTTCCATGCATTCAAAACGAGTGAAAACTGCGTTTTTATAGCTGCCTCAAAACTCAAATTATATCAGGTGTCTGATTTAATTCTGAATTAACATAATTTAATTTGAATTGTCCACATAAAAAAACCTCAAAGTACCAAAAATTCGAAAACAATATTTTATCCAGGCTTGTAACAAATAAAGCAACAAAACGAAATAAAACATGTGAATAGGACATGAATACAGAGTGCGCCAGAACTCGCGCCCCAGAGAAAAATGTCATATAAGGTGAGATAACAGGAACATGGAAAAAACGTTAAAAAAATTTTATCTACAAAAATTTATGAGAGTTTAAATTTTACACTTTAACTCTATTTATTTCTGTCGGAAAAAATAATTCTCCAAGTTTTTTGCTACAGGCTATTAGAAGAGGAAACAAGAAAGCTGTATCCTAAATTGTAACTTTGTTCAATGTTATTTGTGGCTTTTATTGGCAAAATTTTTGTACTTTTATTAAATAACTGTAAAAAAAACATATATAAGGTCATCAGTATCATTAAATAAAGTCTGTTTTTTTTTTTAAATGGAAATGCCAAACAGTCTTAACGTTGGCATCACTAGAAAATTCATTCATGGTAATTTTAATAAAGGAAGTTGGCAGTTCCGGTTTTTTTAATTAATTTGAAAACAATGTCATTAAACGTCAACACAAAAAATCGTCTAAGAAAATTTAGAGATGAAACACCAAAAAAGAAACAAATTCGGTACACTAACAGTTTTTCGAAATTTGGAAACGAATAGCACGCAAGCAGGAAGTTAGAAAAAGGACCCGTTAAAATGTAGACGCAATTTGTAATGCAGGTTTGTTAAACATTCTTAATTCTTAGCAAAAAATTGACAAGAATACAAAATGAACATGAATGAGAAAGAACTTCGGAAAGAACGCAATTAAATTAGTGTCTTGTGCATCGTTTTTGACGAACGAGTTGAATAAGTAACAATTTTGAACCAAAAGCTGAAGAAGAATTTATAAAATGCATCAACTTTGAGCTCATTTCAATAAATTACATAAAATTTATTGCCAATCATCATAATACCCACTTGTATCTTTTGCTAAATAACTTTTTTCTGTATATACATCCTTTTTCTTCAAAGTTTTTGTAGCAAGAATCTCATTTTTGTCCACAACATTGTAACTTACTTGCGGTGTTTTTCTGTCAAAATTATTAGCACTGAATTCTATTTTTAGACCTTAGGTAATGATGCCTGTCCTCAGGTATTCAATTATAGCGCTTTCAAAGAGCAAACCGGCACACAAGATTCATAAAAGTCAAAATTTTGACAACATCTCAATTTGAACACATAACCATAATTTTTTAACAAAATTTCTAGGGACAAAAACAAAGAACAAACAAAATTTGTGGCTAAGGAGAAAAGCTGCTACCAATTTTTTCACCAAAATTTTGATTTGGTAATTTCCATTTAAAAAAAAGACAGACTTTACACATAAAAGTAGTTTTTCTTAATTTAACGCAATTTTTTATAACAGTCATTTTTTATACAGTCGTTTCATATCAGTCAATTTTTCTTTTTATTCTTGCGCAGGGGCCATGTCTGTCAATATTGCCAACACCCAAACATGTTCCTAATCCTAAATCGTTGGACTTTTTTACGGTGGACTCATTTTACGTTGGATTATTTTACGGTAGAGAAAATTATGTTGGACCAATTTATATTGGATTATTTTACGTTGGGCACTTTTACTTTGGGCAATTTTGTATGCGTCCAAATTTTTCTCTGGGGCGCGAGTTCTGGCGCACCTGTATAACAAAAATACCCCAACTTGGGACAATACAATATGTACACTTTGATCCACACTTGCGAAAAAGTAAAATTGTGTTTTGTTTAAAAAGATAACTAAATTTCTTTAGTTGTTACTACTACTGCATGCATTGGAAAAAGAAAAGACTGTAAGCGAGACAGTTTTTGTACCTGGGGTGCAGATGCCCCCAACCGAGTTGCGTCTTGGAGATCCCACATAAGCTAATCCCAAAATACCTCCTTCAAATTTAAGATCGGTAAACAAGTGGGCCAAGCAGAAGTCTTTGTGAGTATATTCCCTGCTAAAAACCTGCACCAGGAAAGGTAATATAGTTAGTACAAACAAATAGTTGAAAGAACTACCAAAACACACAACCATACAAAGCAAACTAAAAAAAGGAAATGATAATAACCCGGTGTACAGATGCCTCCATGCGATCCTCTTCTAGGTGAAGCAATATATGCCAAGCCTAAAACTACAGAGTCCCTAGCTTGGAACGTTTGGTGCGTGAATAAATGTGCTAAACAAACTCCTTTATTTTGGTGGTTGCGTGAAAACACCTTCAAAACAAAAAACAAAACGTTCAAATTAAAATCAAACAGAAATTAAACAGCCAAATAAAAACAATCAGTCAAAATTACCTCCAACAGAGTTCTCACGTCCCATTTTTCACGCACCATATTGTAGTGAGCTTCACCCGCTTTGATCCTCGTAGGCTCGCTGTGAACTACAATTTTCTTAATCACAAAACCCATGCCCTTGAAACCGTCGACTTCCTGCCGATCTTGCCAAATGGTATCATTGTAGATTTTATGGACACGGTCTATGAGACTAATCTGTACAAAACAATCATAAACAACCCAATAAAAAAATAGAGTTTTACCAAATAATTGATTGTTGTTTTCGTGTTACTCGCTCCCATTTCTTGAAAAAACCTATAATCGGCGACGAGTAAAAGGGGGCACCTTGTCTTGGTTGGAGTATATTCGTATTGATCCACTTGTCTTTTTACTTTGTGATGCTGTCTTGTCCATTGATTTCGCCCCTCAAACTCATCGTCGACGAGTTCTTCTCCTTCTTTCACATAGCCACATATTCGGGGACCTACTTGACCAGGAGGAAGGTCGTCATGGTCCCAACTAAATTTTACATCGGATTGTTTGTACGTGATCATGGTTTTGTTATCCAAGTGAGGAATGTGGCGCCACGATGGCTATAAAAACTATTTAAAAGAGTTTATTTTATTATAAATTCTATACCTCGATGTGGTATATTTCTTCAGGTAAATGGATACTACCAGTCATAATGCCGTCGTCCATGTGCAAACTAACGTGTGAAGCGGTCTCTCCAAACACACGACCATGGTAAAAATCATCGTGATCTAAATATACACAAAACATGAAAAGTTGTAATCTGTTTCAATTAACACAATATCTATAATTACAATATTATAACCTTCTTCATAATATTACAAAATGTGTTAAAATGTAATTATCGCCTGCATTATTGACTGTTACTAGCATAAATGGAATGGATAAGTAAATTTTGAAATGAGTTTCAAAGAAATTTGTACCTATATGAACTGAAGTTTCTTTTCCGTCCCCATCAACCGCATATGCTTTAAACTTGGAATGTAAAACGCTCCTTTTTGGAGTTAAAATAAGTCGAAAATCTCGTCCATGTGTATAAAAACTAACTTCCTTTATCTTATTAAAAGGATGACTGCTCTCAGTAGTACCCCTTTTGACGATTTTGTGCGTTATTTCATCTGCATGAATTGTTTCAAAATGTTTCAAGTTTTTATAAATTGACCCTATAAAACACTGATTTAAAAATTTTCACACTTTTACAAAAAATTACCTTCCACCCTAACAATGAAAGCAAGAATAAATATTACAAAATAACAAACCATTTCCATTTTAGTCACTTTCATTAAAAACATCTTAAATAATGTTGGGTCCCATTTGTTTTAATGGTTTATAATAGTTGATTACACGAATAAATTACCATTTTATTTTGTTTGCTTGTTTGCTTTTGCACCTGCTGTCAGAAACAGCTGTCTTCTGTCAACCCGATTCAATCAACAGAAAAAAACCCTAAACATGAAAATAAAAAGTACATGGGCGGAGTTTAATACGTAAAAGTAATAAACAGAAGTCGGTCACGTGACATGTACTTTTAATTTCACAGGCTGCCAATTAATTTCTGACGTGTCCTTTCATTTCGCGCATGTTTTTCGTCACCTCAAATGTCAGCATTTTGTACCGGTGGTAAAGTGAAACGTGATGGAGTTCTTTGTGAAAAACTTTAAATTTTACACATTATGCACAACATTATTAATACTGTTGAGCGTTACATGCAGTTCCGAAGTGTCAAGGCCTCGAGGGGTCTCATTATCGCGAGCTTCTTTATACAATCCAGATCGTAATTTTTTATGTTTTGATAACAGCAAAAGCATACCATTTTCTCAAGTAAATGATGATTATTGCGACTGTCCGGACGGCAGTGACGAACCAGGGACGTCGGCTTGTCCCAATGGGATTTTTCATTGTACCAATGCTGGTCATAAACCCTTAAATTTAGCTTCCAGTCGCGTGAATGATGGTATTTGTGACTGTTGTGATGGCAGTGACGAATACGCCGGAAACACCATAACAACGTGCCCCAATATTTGTCTACAATTGGGGCGACATGCCAGGGAGGAGGCCCAGAAGCTTGCAGAAATTATTAAAGCTGGCAAACAACTAAAAGCAGAACTTAGTCAAAAGGGTATTGCTTAAATTGTATTATTATTTCAAATCCAATGAATTTTTCTAGGTTTGAGACTGAAAGATGAGAAAAAGGAAAAATTAATAGAGTTACAAAAGAACAAAGAAGAGGCTGAAAAAGTAAAAGCAGAAAAACAAAAAATTAAAGATGAAATTGAAGCACTTGAAAGCAAGTCACTTGAAGTGTATAGGAAATTGGAAGAAGAAGAGAAGCAACGGAAAGCCGAGGCTGAAGCACAGAAGACTAGAGAGGAGGCGACTGAAACGTTTACAAAATTTGATTCTAATCAAGACGGTTTAGTTGATATTCCTGAACTTCAGACAAGACAAACATTTGATAAGGATAGAAACGGTGAAGGTATTTATTTATTAGTATTTTATTTTGGCATATTGATTGTAGTTTGTTTCAGTGTCTGAGGAAGAAGCTAAATACTTTTTGAACAATCAAGAATCTGTGGATCTTGAAACATTTATAACAGATGCTTGGCCTAATATTAAACCGTATCTTATGATGGATGCTGGTTTATTCAAGCCACCTGCACCACAAGATGGTACTGAAGGTGAAGATATGCACGATGGGGAAGGAGAGGACGATGAACATGATGGTACTCCTGAGGGTGATGAAGGAGAGGAGGAGGAAGAACCATACCATCCTGAAGAAGAACCAGAGGAACCCTCAACTAAACTACATTATGATGAAGAAACTCAGAAGATTGTTGATCAAGCCACCGCTGCTAGAAACGAATTTACTGATGCTGAACGAGCAGTGAGAGAAATTGACTCAGAAATTGGCAATATTAATGATTACTTGGAGAAGGACTTTGGACCAGAAGAAGAATTTGCAACTCTTCAAGGAGAATGTTTTGAATATACTGATCATGAGTATGTTTACAAATTGTGTCCTTTTGAAAAGGCTACACAACAACCTAAATCTGGCTCTTCTGAGACTAGATTAGGAACTTGGGCTAGGTGGAATGGTCCAGAGGACAGTAAATATAACTCAATGCTTTATGACAAAGGTCAGAATTGTTGGAATGGTCCTCAAAGGTCAACAAAAGTGAATATTGTGTGTGGCACTGAAAATAAAGTAACTGCGGTATCTGAACCTAATAGATGTGAATATTTGTTTGAGTTTGTAACACCTGCAGCTTGTAGAGAGATTCCAAGTGAAGCTGATGATTTACACGATGAATTGTAGTTTTGTAATTGTAGATTTATAACTTTTATATAATTCAGCGTAGTTTGTACATACATTTCCTATAAATTTACAGTAATTTTGAAGTCTTTAAATTATTGAGCATTGTGGGATTACGAGTAAGTTTTGTAGTTTGTTTAATTTGTGTGGTGGAAAATCAGTGATAATTTAAGACCAAGAACTTTGTTATTAGTGGAGGATCATGTTTAATAAAAAAATTAAATAAAAGTTTTTCAAATTAAAACAATCTATTTTGTATTTTTTAAGTTGCGCGCATTTTTTAATATAAGTGATACCAACCTAATGAAAACAACTCCCTATAAATATTAACAGTTGGTTAACCTGCAATTTTGGAGGTGGATTTTGATATCAAGACACCTCAGTTCCACATCTGTCATTAAAATTTGGGCAACATCATTGTTTACTGTTGGCTGTGATAAATACTTTTCTACCGTTTTCCATCTATAAAACCCTTAGTTTTATTTTGCGATGTCTTCAAAACTATCAATTATAATCTGCATTGCGTTCTTCGTAAATGTGTTCAGTCATGAAGATGATGTACACACTGTCAAATACACAACAGAGAATTTTGCCCAAGAATTACCAAAGAAAAACCATTTTGTCATGTTTTACGCCCCATGGTAAGTTGCTTATACCTTAAATATTCACTTTAATGCCAATGCTTTACAGGTGTGGTCATTGCCAAAGATTAGGCCCCACTTGGGAGCAACTTGCTGAAATGCTTAATGAAGACGATAGTAACATAAGAATTGCAAAAGTCGACTGCACAACGGATAGTTCTTTATGTTCAGAGCATGACGTAACCGGCTATCCCACTCTTAAGTTTTTCAAAGTTGGGGCTTCTGAAGGTATTAAGTTTAGGGGTACAAGGGATTTACCAACTCTTACTACATTTATAAATGAGCAGTTGAGAGAGGTACAAGATCATACAGGTTAAGCTTTTGCTAATGTGTTTTTTCAGGGTGATGAGGGAGATGCTGAAACAAAACCCCCACAACCCGTAAGTGGTCTTGTAGAATTGACTGAAGATACTTTTGAAAAGTTTGTAGCCACAGGAAAACATTTTGTTAAGTTTTATGCTCCTTGGTGTGGCCATTGTCAGGTATAATAACGTTGATTTGTTTCTTTTTAATAGTTTCAAGTTTTTTTTACAGAAATTAGCTCCAGTATGGGAACAGTTAGCAAAATCTTTAGAATTCGATTCTAGTATATCTATTGCAAAAGTTGATTGTACCCAATGGAGACTCGTTTGCAACCAATTTGAAGTCAAGGGTTATCCAACTCTTCTATGGATTGAGGATGGGAAAAAAGTAGTTTTATATTCTATTACATATTTAAAATTTTTATTCATTGTAAAATTGCCAGGTTGATAAATACCAAGGAGACAGAACGCATGAAGATTTGAAGAATTATGTGAATAAAATGATGGGTTCTTCTGAAGTACCCACTGAGACTGAGAAACCCCAGTCAGAAGAAGGTGCTGTAGGAACCCTCAATGGTGATACTTTCAAACATGGCATAGAGACTGGTATTACGTTTGTTAAATTTTTTGCTCCATGGTGCGGCCACTGCAAGCGATTAGCACCCACTTGGGATGAGTTAGGTAAAAAATTTGTAGCTGATTCGAACGTTAATATTGCCAAAGTTGATTGTACTCTTGATCTAAATAAAGATTTGTGCAACGAGCAGGAAGTAAGTTAATTTTAAATGTTGTTTTGGCATGACTTTGCATAAAATTCTTTTAGGTTGAAGGATTTCCAACAATATTTCTCTATAAAAATGGAGAAAAACTTTCAGAATATAGTGGAAGTAGGACTTTGGAAGACTTATACGAATTCGTTAAACAACACATGGGGCACGATGAGCTTTAAGTTTTAGGTTTTTTTTTTGTTTGGGTGTGTTACAGTTTGCAATTCCATTTTTGCGTGATTATTGTAATTCCTTTCCAACCTGACGTGTTAAATAAACTTTTTTTTAAATCAACTGTTTTAATTGAACCTCTCCTGAGGTAAAACAATACTACTTGTTCTCCTTTTTTTGCTAAAAATTAGTTTTAACACCATTTTACGTTATGTGAAGCGTAATAAATACCTCAATAAATAAATTAATAAATATTTTAAATAGGCTTTATCAAACAATTTTTCAAGAGAGGTTAATGATGTTTGAATTTATCATTTTTTACATAAGAATATATACATTTACCTAATATCAGAAGCAATAATCTGTTCTGAATTGTGTTCTTTTATTTTGAATTTGATTGATTGTTTTTCAATGATACGATGCTAAAACATTTTAGGGATGAACGCTGTATGAAAACACTTTATCATTCTCTAAGAATTCGACAAATGGAATTTCATAAATCATGGTATAAACATAATATAGTTTGTTAAATAAAAGACTAAAAATGGTTTCTTGTAATATTTATTTAACAATAAACTAATAAAAATACAAAGGTTTAATTTGTTCTCATTATTGTTCCTACTGTTTGGAGTTTTTTGATTTATGTTTTATTTATTTGGTGTATATTTAATGTTTATTTCGTAGGTACTAAATTTATAAAAATCGTATATTGGTAATAAGATTTTGATTTAACATGTTCTAAACATTCTTATTATTACCCTCATTACAGAAAATTTATACACAACTAAATACTCGTTTACTTTGTAAGTTATTTTATTGTAGGTATATCAACTCTATAACATCAATGTCCAAGCAATGTCAGTCTAAGCAGGAATAAAGAACTTATAAATACGACACTGCTGGTCTAATTTTTACAATTAACAATTATTTACAATATTTAATTATTATTGCTTCATTTTTATGTTTGCAAAATATTTTAATTAAAAGGTTGTTGGACCCATCACTTTAGCTGAATATCATTTCAACAAACCTAAATGTGGAAAAAATTTATACGAAATGCATCTATATTTTACACAGTTAGCTCAAGTTGTCTGTAATAACGATAGTGATATGGTATGGTGGTTTAACAATTAGCACTAAATGAAAAAAGATACAGTTGGAATGTATATAAAACAGTAATTTCAGTTTTAGTATTAGATTATAGTGAGACCCTATGTCTAAAATAGAAAAATTCTATAATGAAGTGAGCAGATACTCCTTCATGTCGGTCATTGGTGTTGGATTAGGTCACCTCACCCTACCCGAAGGCGACCTCAGGTGCGAGCGTATATAACCGGTACGATAATCCACCACGTCTCGGCGATGGGCTCCCTGCATACCATGCCTGTTCCGCCTGCTCCACCTGCACCCATCCAATTTACTTCGTTATAATCTTTATCACATTTCTATTAATTTGAATTAGTTGTGTTTTTAGGGTCTAAGGAATGTGTGAAGATGTTAGAAGCCGTTTCATGCAAGCAAACATCAAAACCATAAAAAGTCTTTCAATTATAGTAATTATATTTATTATCAACCAAATTTATTTGTACAGTGGTGAAGGAATAAGTGCATTATTTTCACGAAATAAACACAAATGTACAGCTTGAGAGGACAGTATTCACCACTAGCTTAATTAATTTGAAGTTTTGACGTTTGGCGTTTTCTGCAAATTTCTCCACTTAGAATCCCAAATCCCACTTAGGAGCTACTCCATGCAAACCATGCAAGAAATAGATTACTTAAGACAACTCACATTTTATGTGATACGTCGCGAGGGTGTTAATGATTCGGGGACAGATGTGGATCCTCTCGCTTGCAGAAGGAGGGTCTTTGGTGCCAACGAGGTACCATTAGGGTACCAGCACCATTAGACCACATTTCACACACACAACGAAGCACAAGAAATAACACAATGAACAAAAACATTCTACGTTAGAAAAGTATGAACGTGCTTCTATTTTATGACTCAAATCAAGGTAAGAACAAAATTGTGTCTTGTTTGAATCACAAAAATGGGATGTGGAAGACGCTGTGAAAAGTTTTATGTTCAGGTGAAGAAAAGTTTTTATTAAAATTTTTCATTTTATTTGTGTAACAATAAATTAAAGTGTGTGTGAGAGAGAGCAAACGACAAATATAGGACTCATGCAAGTCAAAATAAAACCTACCTGTTAAAAATTGGCGAAACATTACATTTTTAGAAAAAAAAAAGAAAATAGAGTGTAATGTGTTTGTGTTATTGTCAGAAACATACATAGATGCAGGTTTTGCTAGGGTCTAATTCAGTATAGCCAAAACAAAATAACAAAAATTTATTGTCATCTAAAGGGAGATTGTCTTATAACTAGTTCTACTTTAACAATGTATTTATTACAATTCTATCGTATTTTGTAGAGCATGAGGAGAATGACGCAACACACTACGCATACATACATTAATTCACGTTTTTTACCCCTATTTGGGGTTGGCATACTATAAATTAAAAAAAAGTCACATTACTAAACGAGACATAAATCAATAGGTGTGGTAACATCTTTTAATGAAAAAAAAGAGACAAACTAAACGAAACACAATGGAATGTGACGATGATGTCTATTATTATATCCTTTAATCGAACTACGAAAAAATCAATAGAAGAAATATCCAGTGCTATCTAATAACCATCGACTTCTACGAGATCTTAGTTCCACTAACTACACTTACAGAGCGACATGTTTTTAATTTTTTTTGTTTCAGATTTATGCGTTTAAAATTTACAAAACTTCAGTGTTGCCTAATATTTCCAAAAATACATTTTTCTAGTAATTTTTTTGTTAGAATTTATTACTTTTTGATTAAATTTCTACCGATTTTATTTTTATTTCATTGTTAGTGTCTTTACATACAATTTTTTTGTTTTTTTTTAGACTAAATCTCAAACTCATTTCCTACTAAAACAAGTCCTACACATATGTGTAATTTCCAGTTAAAAATTTAGTTTCTTCTTTCAATTTGTGCACATTTTTTTGATATAATATCAATAATATGGAATTTAATTTTTAATTTTTTTCTCTTTTTTCATCGAAACTTGTCGCTTTGTAAGTTCTTCATTTCCAAAAATGGCGATAAACTTCAGATTTATTGCCATCCTACAGCTCCTAGTAGGTACCAAATAATCAAAATAGAACTAAACTCTAACGTTATAAATAAAACTACGTGATATCCTATCAGTGTTAACTGCAAAAAATGTGATGTTGTGTCAGGTGTGTGTTGTGTAAAAATGCAAAGAAATAATGGAAAATATTAATTACGTCAAATAGAATAACAATAGAAATAATAAAAGCGTGCACAAATTTACGGATATCGTAGAAAATTTTTTTTCAGTTTTAATAATGACTTACCTGGCACTGTGACTCAACATGATGATATTTCTGCAACAAGGGAGTACAAAGCTTTTAGTAGTCTTTTCATCAATATGTCAATTAATTTCATGGAATAAATTAGCCAAATGCATGTAACATTGATTAATTTTAAGTGGTGGAAAGTGCGGAAGTGAATTAATTAAAATGAAAATAATGTAAAAAGCATCAAGTCATGCTAAAAGAGGAGAATGATGTAAAAAGTGTGAATTATCGGAATTTGGAAAAAATTCTGCTATTTAAACCTATCAGATATTGTCGATCTAAGTCTAACTGTTTATTTTGATGCAAATAATTCAAACCCAAAATAAAATTTCATTAGCAAATAATTTTAACTAGCATAAAAACAAACCTTCCCTTGGAAGAATCGTGTGGATTTTCTGCAAAATTAAAATTTTAGCTCCAATTAAGCTGCGCCGTTGCACTGAATTATTTTACGCCTAAGTATTTACCAGTTAAGTATTATGGTGACAGTGAGTAAGACAGTAATAGCTTTAAAATGGTTTCAAACAAGAAAAATCCAAATAGCCCTCGCAGCAGTCGATAATCTGTCAGTGTCAAAATGGGTTTGACGCTTTCGGGTTTATTTCGTAAATTTTTCGGTAAAAAACAGCTTCGAATTTTGATGATCGGACTCGACGGTGCCGGCAAAACCACAATTTTGTACAAACTAAAATTCGGTGAAATTGTGACGACGATACCAACTATCGGATTCAACGTAGAAATGGTCGAGTACAAAAACATAACTTTCACGGTTTGGGATGTGGGAGGCCAGGATAAGATTCGCCGCCTCTGGCGGCATTACTTCCAAAATACTCAAGGGATCATCTTCGTCGTCGACTCAAGTGATAGAGATCGAATCGATGAAGCTCGCAAAGAGCTCCAGAGTCTTATGCAGGAGTATGAATTGCAAAATGCCGCCTTATTGGTGCTGGCAAACAAACAAGATTTGCCCGTGTCGATGACGGCGGCTGAAATCGCTGAAAAGATGCAACTTAACGAGTTGCGCGCCCGCAAATGGCAGATTCAGGGAACTTGTGCGCTCAGAGGTAACGGATTGTACGAGGGGTTCGAATGGTTGTCGCGGGAGTTACTTTAGATTAGTGTGAAAATTATCGACTGCTGCGAGATTAAGTTTTGCTTTTCTTTTTGGAAATGTTGCTCGATACTGAACTCACCTTAGCAGCCGGGTTATGTAGTCGGGCCAGTTGGCGGGAAACATCACCAGGAAAAATCCTACAGCGATAAGAATCATTCCTGCTAATTTCATCCCTTCGAAGTTAGCACCGTACAAAACCACGTCCAGTGCTACACACATATTTGTGTTAATAATAAAATTCCCTAATAATTGTGTTTAGTTTTAATTAGTAGAACTGTAGCTTAATTTAATAAGACAAATAAATAATGCTTTGGAGTTTTTAATATGCTCTATTTATATATTTAATAAAATATTTTTTACCTGCGGAAACTGGAACAGCGGTTATAAGTCCTAATGTTATAAACAAGTCATAGGTCAGGGCAACGCTGAAGTTACCCAATAAATTGGCAACTGAAATCGATAAAAAATAAATTATTACAACTTATAAAAAAACGTACCTATAGGAGTTGATAAACATGACATGTTCTTTTATTTAATATTGAATACTGAGTGAGTGAAAAAAAAATAAATAAAAGCAAGCCTGTTTCCAAACTTTTCAGCTACATTTAAATATGTATTGGCTTATTTTAAGTTAATGTTTGATCGTAATTTAGAAGGTATAGTAAAATTGTTTTCCTAAGACCTACGAAAAATTTCATGACACATTATAAGGGATTAACCAAACAATGGCTTGAATTTGTAATCCTCCATAAATGGCACGTTCCTTTGCAAGTGTTGCTGCACCCAATAGAATAAAACAGGGCCGTATTTAAAACTAAAGTAGTGGTAGAGTTTTACCTAGCTATTATTAAAAAAACAGGTTTATTTAATAATAGCTTGTTAATAACCACCTGGCTTTTTTAATTTTAAATAATAAAACTATTAAAACATTTCAGGTATTTTAGACAAAAAGAAAGTAAGGGCCCTGTTAAAAACTGACCTGTTTCCTTGGTTTCAGGATCCGGGGGGGTGCCACTAATTTATGATTTGTTTACCCTCTGGTTTACTCTTAACAATACCGCATTTAACTTAAAAATAATAAAAATTTTTAGTAGGTCTTAGGAAAACGATTTTACTATACTGCAAGTTGAGTGTCATACGATACAATTCTGTTAAGACTAAACAATAAATTGGGTTACAATTGTAAGTCTTCATTTTTTCATTACATCACAAGGTCTTCTTCTTTAACACAATCAAAAAAATAAGAAAACATACTAATTTGAAACAACGATGTAAGTTACAGACAAAAATTCTTCTACTTTCTTTAATTATAAGAAATAAAATAAGTTTTTGACATAAAATTATATTATATTACATTTGATTATTGGATTTTTTTTCTAAAAATTTCAACTTTGCATTTTGTATGGAAAAAAATTAATAAAAATTTTGTTAAAAGTCTTTGTTATAAAGTAGAGTAGAAAAATTTCAAGTAAGACAAGATACCAGGAACATGGAAAAAATGTTTAAAAAATTCATCTGTCAAAAAAATTGGACATTTATTTTTTGACATTTTTTATGTCTATTTAATGATACTGATGATGTTGTTTATGTTTTTTTTACAATTATTTAGTAAAGTTACACAAATTTTGCCAATAAAAGTCACAAATAACATTGAACAGAGTTACAATTTTAGGATAGAGCTTCTTTATTGTTTCCTATTATAATCGCCTGTAGCAAAAAAACATGAAAAATTATTTTTCCAACAGAAATAAATAGAGTCAAAGTGCAAGATTTAAACTCTCATAACTTCGAAATTTTTATAGATATTTTTTTTAACATTTTTTCCATGTTCCTGGTACCTTACCTTACCATTTTTCTCTGGGACGCGAGTTCTTGCGCACTCTGTATGTATGTCATAATAAATTTAGGAATCAATAATAACGCTTTTGTTAGATTTTTAATGTATAAATTATAAAACTGTGTAATTGAATTTTAAATGATGTGAGTATAGCTTTTAAACTAGTGCAACTGGAACCGTATTTATTCAAATGTGTCTCCAGTGTTTTGGAATATTAACGTTACGAGTTATTTGGAATATATCTCAACACTATGTTTTCACTGAATAATTATTATTTATTAAGTTTAGAGTTAATTCCTGCAGTTTTAATTTTTTAATTTGATAGGTGTCTATTAACTTCCGTGAACATTTGGATAGATTTTTATATTTTATGATTAGACTCTATTCGATTGCTTACTACGACTTTTTCCAAGACAGTAAGTTGGATTTACTTGTTGCTATCCCAAACTCGTCGGTAAGTATTTTATTTATTGTTGCTAACGTTAAACTCGTCGATAAGCATTCAAAATATTTTGGCGTTCTAGAACATTTTGTTTATAGCTTCGCTCCTCCTCCAAACAATTGTCTTCAATCGGTAAAATGTCCTTACCGTTCTTGATGCTTAATATACTATTACATAACAAAGAAGCGATAAACAAAGCAAATTACACACTCAATTTACGTTTTTTATTGCTTCTTCAAGCAGTGAAACAACGTTTAGGAATGTCAATAAAAATGAGATGATATCCCTAGACGATTCTCAATTTAGAGTAGGTATTTCCTGTACAATGTAAGAGCTTGAAAAATTTAACAACCTGAAACGTTTACATAAAAGCTATGATAATACAGGCAAATCTTTGAAAATGGTAGAGGTGGATGATATATGGTTATTAGAGCTGTCATCTTTTAAGTCGACTAGCTCCCTTGGTTGCTATTCTCTTTTGGAATTTATTCGGGTAATTTCCTACCATTCACTAAATTGTTGTATAATAAATTAGGTTCTAACCCCGAAAAAAAAAATTACAAACCTACTTTCTTCAACTTAGTATGTATCTCACACTCATTTTCCCAACCCATTTTAACACAACTTTCGTAATATATGAACCGTACACTCCCTCGTGTATTTTCGCTCTATTTCCACGAAAAACAACTCAAGATAAAACAATGGGAGGCCGAGGTCACACTTGCAACAATAAAACTTCATCACTCACCTAGAGAAAGAGAGCTCGCTGTAAGTAGCGCTGGCCAGGGTAGTTTATCCCAGTTCATACTTTCCACCCCCGTCAAAAACAAACCTAAACTTAACGGCCACAAAAAGGCGGCATTTAACATCCCTATGAGTGAGAAAAATAAAGCCACTTGACCGTAAGTGGCGTCACCGATTATTTTCTTAAATAGGACTTTGTACACTGCTGAACCTGCTGCTGAAGAGGTTGCCAGCACGACACCGGCCAAAGTGGGGCTGCCGGTGATTCCGTCCATGTAGGCCAGTAAAGCCACACCGGTGTCGCAAATTATCACAGCCATGATCTAAAATTTGGTAGAGAATTATAATTTTTGCAAACGACAGTGTCGTATTAAACTGGAAAATGTCCTTTTTTATGTATTATATGAAATATTTTTTTAAAGTACTGAAATTAGCAGTTTGAAAAAGCCTTTATAACAAACTGTTATTTAACGCGAAAGTTTAATCCGACACTGGCAAACACAAGAAAAAGTAGAACTATATTTTCTATGAAAAATGCAAAGTACAAGGGTTATTTCTTTTTCAAGGCTTACAAATCTAAACACTGGCAGTATCAAAAAAATTCAACATTTAGGTAGTGACTGGACTTTCTATGTACAAAAGATATTTTTTCAATTGTTTAAATTTGCGAACTAATCAGCTGGTCATGAATAAAATAGCCCCTATACATTGTCGTTGTTTTAATGAAACCTCCTACGACGTGATTTCTCAAAATACGAGTACATACAGGGTGAATATAAAGTATGGAACCAAGCGGTTTTATTTTTAATGATTTGCCTGCGGAAAATAATGATTAATATAAATTAAAGTAATATAAAAAAATGTGATCGTAATTTCAGAACGAAATTTTGTTTTGTTTTTGAGTTATGCGATTTTTTTTTGTCAAAATTGCAATTTATGTGAAAACTTTTTTTTGAAAAAATTAGTAATAAAGCAGATAGTTGTAATCCTTAGAGTATAGCTTTTATGAGAAAAATGATTTTATAGTGGGTTGCCATTAAAAAATTTTTTTTTTTTTGTAGAACTCAAAAATAAAAGGAAATTTAGAAAAATTTTATTCTTGTTAAATCAACACATTTGTATAGTACTTTAGTACTCATCAATTAGTTTTTTCAAAAAATAAATAGTTTAAGCAAAAAACGTTTGGTTCCATACTTTTTATTCACCTGGTATAGTTGGTGTTAAGATACTCATAAAAGTAATGAAATTATTTTTTTTTAATTTTTGTTATATTTATTTGATTTTTTTACTGTTTTTTAGATCTTTAACTTTATAACTTAAAGGTTTTCTAGTCATGTATTTTTAGTTTTTTTTAGCTTCTTGTGCTATTTTTTCTTCAGATTTTCTTTTCTGGAATTTTTCTGTTTTCCTTCGTTCTTTAACTTTAGCCTTCTCTTTTTCAATCTGTTTTTCTATATTTTTTGTTTTTATATGTTTTATTTGCACTTGTTTTTAACATGCCCGCCTTTATTCTTGTGTCTTACTTTTTTATTTCTTCTGATTCTGGTTTAAATGTTTTTGACCTCACTTTATTTTATTAGTACTTCTTCTATTTCTTTAAAATTTTCTATGTACCCTTTAAATCTTATTCTTCCTTAAATCTTCCTTATGTTTTATTTTCTCATCTTTTTTATTTTTGAAATTATTGAATAAAATTGAAATTATTCAATAAAATATTTTTGATTCTAGTTTGAATATT